CACTTTGGGAGTCGGGAGAGCGTACCCAGACGATGATGGATGGTAATAGAGAATGAATTACGCTGTTGGCTTGCGTATGTGCTTCTGGAGATGCATTACCGCCCGCTCTTATCTACCAGGGCACCTCTGGGATTCAATCAAGCTGGGTTCACGACCTTTTAGAGACCCAACAACACCAAATATTTATATCCCACTCAGCTTCGGGATAGTCTAACAACGAGTTAGGTCTTGCTTGGCTTCAACAGGTGTTTGAACGTCATACAGCAGCCAAAGCTCGCCGTCAATGGCGCCTTCTTATCCTTGACGGGCACGGCAGCCACGTTACGCCCGACTTTTTGGAGTTTTGTGAAGCCAAACGTATTATGGTGATGGTGTATCCTCCCCATTCAACCCACAGCTTACAGCCGTTAGATGTGGTACTTTTTGGGCCGCTTTCGAAGCACTACACCGAGGAGCTTTCCCAACACCTCCAGCGAACCCAAGGCCTCTCAAGAATCACCAAACAGGACTTCGATCGTCACTTTTGGCCGGCATGGAGCTTTACAATGACTCACGATCTCATTTTGAAGGGGTTTCAAGCTACAGGCGTATGGCCGATGGACGCAAGCCGGGTACTTCAACGCTTCAACAACCACCCACAACAACAAGATGACGACCCAGGAATTGGGGAGCAAGGCGACGGCGATAGCTGGCCTCAGCTGCGCAAAATTTTTGACGCTGCGGTGGCTGACAAGGCTAAATTTGAAGCCAAACGGCTGTCCCAAGGCCTGCACTCGCTGCAGGTCAACAACGAGCTTCTCCGCCTCCAGAACGCGGAGCTACGCGCTGAACTCAACCTTATTCGAAAGCGCCCGACCAAGTCTACAATACTGACTACACGACAAGGTGACGAGTGGCACGGCGGAGCTGTATTCTACAGTCCCAGGAAGCTTGCCAGCGAGCGCGCGCGCAAGGCCGCAGAACTAGACGAAGCCGCGGAGCTACAACTCCAAAAAGCTCGCGATAGAGAGATTAAAGCGGCAGAAGCAGCTGAGAAACTGGACTGAGGGTCGAGTTGATTGAACCATGTAGCTCTAATGTACTTAACTCATTATGCGTTAAAGTTGGGACGGCTCACAATGCTGTGGGATATGGGTGGCTTGTTGGATGACTTGACTCGTGAAGTGCACTCAAACGATATACTCTACAGCCTCTTTATATTTCTGAAACCTGCCTCAAACCCTTTGTGTCCGGTACGTTGAAAACGTACTTTACCGCGCTTGCTTTGCCTGATTTCAAGTTCTGTAGGCCTACGCCTACTCCCCCGAGACCACCAGGAATGATCTCATGAGGATGCGCAGCAAATTTCCCTTCCATGATCATCCGGAACATCCACCGAAGATAGATGAAACCCTCCTGTTTGTGCTTGCCATATGCATCCGATACAGCGCTGAACTCAGCAGACTTGTAGGTCTTAGGATAGGTGAATCCATGGGGGCTGTATATTCTAAAGGAAACACATGTAACCTGTCCTTCTTCCGCAAGAACAGAAACCACGTCCTCATGGCTTCCGTTGTCTGATACAGCATCAAAGGCGTGGTGTATTTCAGAGACTTTTGCATTCTTGAGTGCGTTTTTGATGCCAGCCCGCACTTCTTCATTCCCATTCCGATAATCAATGATCACGTGTCCCATAGACGGGTCGATCAGCGACTCAGCAAATGGGATCCCTATTCCTGCCACGCCAATGATGGGGTGGACATTCGACATGCGCGCCATCTTGATTGCAAACCCGCCTACAGCTGATGCTGCGCCGTAGACAAGGAAAGGTATTTTCTCAGTCGCAGGTCTCCATGGCTCAGGTAGATTCAGTTTACAGTAGTTGCCAACAGCAGCTGTCAGACCGGCCAAAGGGATCGTTGAAGCTTCCTCAAAGCTCACATTTTTTGGAATGTGAGACGTCATGTACTGCCATGCAACAGCATACTCCGCATAGCTGCCACCCGGGGTCATCATCTCGTGAAAGGCAGCAACACGATCACCCGGCTTGAACTCGTAGACATTAGCACCAACAGAGCGGACGATGCCAGCAATGCCATCGCCAGTGTTATAAGGAGTGTTGAAGAGCTCTACTGCTTTCCTGCAAGTGATTAGCCCAAGAACGACGCCATAAATAGTGTTTCAGACCAGTTTTTCGGGTTGCATCCGCTGGCGATAACCTGGATTACAACTTGTTCTGGTCCCGGTATTGGCATCGGCGAATCTATGATTTCAACCTTCTAAATGTTAGTGAAAAGGAAAGATTAATAGGATGTTATATGCGGAACCTCAGCAACACTGCGTACAATTGCCTCCTTCATGGTAAGCAGAGATTGCTTACACTAGGTTAGTGTCTGGTAATATCATGTTTGCTGGTGTAGGGAGGGGAAAAAGACGGGCGGTGCAACATTATATACGTCAGGCGCAACGCGTTTGCCAGCAGCAGGAAGTGTAAAACAAAGGTTAGAACTGAAGGTGGGAACGACTTGGTATTTCGACAGCAGGGACAACCTTTCCGGTAAGATCGGCACACTGCATCGTCCGTTGAAACACGGTCTAGATATCGTAGCGTCCGGCGATGTAGAGAATGACGTCTAGGGGTAAAGAGTAGAGGGCCTAGTATCTTCCTCTTAGCTTATCTTCGATTTACACTATGTATGGTGGACTAGGTTGATTTAATATGATTGAATTAGATCCTACACGTTTACAGCCGCGAAAAGCAGCTATGCCCGGCTAATAAGCTTAGCAGGACGCTTCAGGCGTGATTCAGATTCTTAAAGCAGACTGTTGTCGAACGTGCTGCTGCTGGCAGCCGATGAGCGATCTGCTTCGACGATCCAGTATCCATACGCTCTGTTACAGTCCCAGCATTGGAGCATGAGGCCGCTGACTCCATTCTCGTGAAGCCAGGTCGAAGTCTTCCGCTTCACGCTAGTCTTTCGAAAGATGGCGGGCTAGCATCTCAAGGCTTGTTGTCTTGTATCGACAATGATTGCACATCATGCCGAGGTGCTTGGAGAGATGCGGATGAGGAGAGGTGTGATCTGGTCGCAGGCGAAGCTCCCTCGGTCCCAGAATAGTGTATGGTCTCAAAAGGTAGGTCAAGTCTTTCACCAGGTTCACAAGTTGCATTCGTAGGTTGCTAACACTACCCAGAACTGTACGGACGCCAGTACCTCTTCTTTGCTACCTACATGTTTCTCACTTCCTTCAACGCCGGTGCCGCCGACTCCCAGAACATTGAGACTCTGATTATCCTAAGATTCTTGGCTGGTTCTTTTGGCTCCTCGCCGTTGACTAATGCTGGCGGTGTCATTGCAGACATGTTTCCTGCATCTTAGAGAGGTTTAGCTACGAGTCTCTTTGCTGCTGCTCCGATGCTGGGACCTGTTATTAGTCCAATTAGTAAGTGCTTAAAAGGTCCTAGACGTGATTTTAGTACAGGGCTGACACGCAACAGTTGGTGGTTTTGTCGGCCAGACCATTGGCTGGCGCTGGATCGAAGGCGTCATGGCTATATTCTCTGGCGTCCTCTGGCTTATCTACACTCTTCTCATCCCCGAAACCTATGCACTAGTCCTACTTCGCAAGCGTGCCGCAGCCCTTTTGAAGCGAACCGGACAAGTGTACAAGAGCAAATCCGACGTCGAGCAAGGCACTAAATCTATCGGCACGGCTTTTAAGACCGCTCTTATCCGTCCATGGCTCCTGCTATTCCGCGAACCTATCGTTCTGCTCCTATCCCTATACATGACCGTTGTCTACGGAACGCTGTATATGCTCTTCGGCGCTTTCCCCATCGTCTATCAACAAGGTCGCGGTTAGTCTTAAGGCATTGGTGGTCTCGCATTCTTGGGTGTAGCTGTTGGCATGATTCTAGCGACTTCCTACTCGATATGGGACAACAAGCGCTACAACAAGGTCGCTGACGCTTCGCCTGGTGGTATCGCCCCGCTAGAAGCTCGACTTCCACCCGCCATACTAGGCTTAATCGTCATGCCTATCGGCCTGTTCTGGTTCGCTTGGACCAACGGACCTAGTATTCACTGGATTGTCAGCATCATAGCGAGCGTGCCTTTCGGCTTTAGTATAGTTCTTGTCTTCCTTTTAATCATGAATTACCTGATCGATGCATACCTTATCTACGCGGCATCTGCACTTGCTGCTAACTTAGTACTCTGATCGCTGTTCGGCGCTGCATTCCCGCTGTTTACTAGCGATATGTACAGTAACCTAGGCATACATTGGGCATCTTCGGTTCCGGCATTCTTGTCGCTAGCTTGCTTACCCTTTCCTTATCTATTCTACAAGTATGGTCCTGTCATCCGTCAGCGCTGTAAGTATGCTGCGGAGGCTGCTGAATTTCTAGAGAGGATGCAGCAGAAAAATTGAAGTTAAAGTTCAATGCTGGCTAAGCTTTCTGTCGCGTTGCTTTGATGGAAATCGGATGGAAAGTATGGCGGGGAGTGCACACGTGGTATGCCTCATTTTGCTCTTAATCGGGCTAGTGAAACCTAACGCTAGCCCGATGTAGCGCGGGGAATGCATACCCCGTCGCCTCATTGGTTAGGATAGAGAGCTAAACGTCTAGAGTTACCGCGACGTATTCTGGATGGGAGGGCATCATGCGCACCTCTGGATTGCTTTTTTCTGCAGCTTGACCACTGTTCCCCCGAAAGGATTCGTTTTGCGAAGGCGTTTGAATTCCTCCAGGTACCCCAGCTGCCAGGCACCCAACGTTCGTAAGCGCCCCCATGAATCGAGGCGCCCAATATTCGATATTGTCTCTCGCGAACTGCTGCTGTTGGCGCCCATCATTGAGGTGAGCGTCCGCCTACTACCACCCCGTTCATTTCGGCCATCACCGCTGAGAATCCCCAGATTGAGAACCCTCCCCACACACCGTACCGCTTCTTGGCAAGCCGTGATTCAATGATCTCAAACTTGCTGTACACATTGTTCGATATCTAGGTGCCCTCTTATGTTGTACAGAATCACCGTTCAGCTCGACATTCGTACCCTGGGGTTCAGGCGGCGGAAACCAGCTCGGAGGTGCGGATTTCTGTATAGGAAACCGTGTAGACATGCGCAGCCTCACACAAACCATAAAGCGATTCTATTAAGTATGGAGTCTAGTAGTTTGCGCAATGTATAGTAGTTTACAACGTTATACGTTGATATCTTGTAAATTAGAGCAGCTATCGACAAACCGAGTATATATTTGGAATTGTAGCGTAATTCTGTAATAGATTGTGTGGCTGGAGGTCTGCAACAGTGGCTGTGCACCGTATAGTCACGTGAGAGACATCAAAACTTCACCTTTACCTTTCAACGCGGATAGCTCAACAACGAGAGCAGCTATCAACAAAATGTGCGCAGAATGAAAATTCTGGTGTAACTCTGCGTAAAATAGCTTCTTAGGATTTTTAATATTCTGCCTGCCTGCTAGGCAGGAAACCCTAACGCTAAGCCTATCGTAGCACAAATCACCCCGGATTCGTCGCCTCCTATCGGGTAGGTCTATACAGTACTCTCTTAAGTTGCCTTCCAACAACTACTTGTGTGTGGCTTTACAGCCTCACTTTTGTGCAGTCTGATTTAGTGATACGCGTGCATTGTGTGCACGAACGTGGTACGTGTTGTATTGTTGTTAGCCCCCTGGCTGAGGTTACATAATAGTCGTCGCACGACATTGTTGGTAACAAGGTTCTCGGCAGCACTTTGCCTGCAATATGTGTACTTATGAATGTGGACCTCGGGAAATTACCGGAAACGGTCCGACTAGCTTTTGAAAGAAACGCCAGTTACACTCTCACCTAGAAACAAGCGAGCGCAGTATGCGCCTGAAAGTTCAGTCTGTGTCTTGCGGTTGCATCGAGCTAGCGCAATGCTTAGTTGTGACCTGACTTCTCGCAATAACATTATCCGTATCCTAAGCTAGGGCACAATCATTCTATACACGAGATATCCAAATCAGAGTCCTCATTTTCAACCTAGACAAACCACAATGTATGCACTAGCACCGACTAATCGTGATCTTACGACGATCGCTTCACCGCACTGTGGGCCCTGAATGCGCGCGATGAGGCATGCTACCCATCTTTCTACCCCTGAAACTCGTATCCCTGAGGTAATCTCCAGAGGTGGCGAACACCGTAAGGTGCACGGCTTGAGAACATTACGTGCTGTTCTTGCTGTGGCATGGATGTGGCCGTAAAGATTAGGTAACTGTCGTAAGTGTATAACTGGGCGAAGAAGGTCGTTTGAGTGGTGCGCAGCGTCCAGCGTTAACTCCCATCCTTCTAATCAACTACTCATCGCTCCATCTCAACGGCACCACCTTTACTGCTTTGTCGATATGCTCCATCGGTTTTTCGTACGATCTTTCGCATGCGCAGCCGTGTTCCAAGTCATACGGCTTATTTCTTACCAATATGCCTTTCAAACATATATCCAGAGTGTCATGATCAAATTCAATGACTTTCCAACCAACTACGCAAGAGCTTTGAATGAATCTATGCTGCGCAACGAACAGCCCCTGGAGTCCGATTACACGCCCGCCTCCGTAGGTCCTAAGATCCCGCGCATAATACACTACATCTGGTTCAATAATATTTACCCGAACCATGAAACTTCTGGAGCTCCTTCTGTTGGATTCGGATCTCCAGAACTTTGCCAAAAGTTCAACCCGAGTTACGAGACCCGTATGTGGAACGCGACAAGTGCACACGAATTTTTCGAAAGCAAATACCCATGGTTTCTCGCGACATATGAAGCCTACCAGTACCCTATTCAGAAGGTCGATGCCTTGAAGTATTTCTTACTATATCACTTTGGCGGTGTATACATGGATCTGGATGTTGCTTGTCGACGCTCCCTTGACCCCCTGCTAGATTTTCCGGCCTGGTTTCCAGAAGCTTCGCCTCTGGGCGTCAACAACGATTTGATGGCGTCGTCGGCAAAGCACCCGATCATGAAGAAGATGACGGAGGGTCTTGTGACACATAATTGGAACTTGCTCTTCCCTTACCTCACTATCTTCTGGACAACAGGCCCGCAATTCACGAGCACGATATTACAACAATTGTATAAGCGCTGCGAGGACAAACAGAGCTACCAGTATCGGAGTGCGAAAAACGTTGGTAAGAATTGAGCCAATCAGAACGATCGCATTATGATTTGGAAAACTAATCTATCTCTCTGAAAAGATTCAGACTGCTTCGTCGTGCTACCACGAATGTTCTACTCGGAAGAATACACCTTCTTCGGACATAAACCTGGAGGGACATGGCACGGTTCAGACGTCGCTGTGGTATTGTGGTTTGTAGACCACCCATGGGCATATATGAGCCTCGCGGCTGCATTTGTTGGAACATTCGGTTGGCTGATGAAAATGAGACGTAGGCGAAGCGCGTGCAGGTGGAGGAAGTTGAATAATAATTGTGCTTAGACATCGCAAGGAATTCAGGTTGCTAGTTGCGATAGAGACGGTCCCACCTGCCTTATGTGAGAAGTATCTCCCGTTGGTGCGAAACATACGAAAATGAGACGCATACCTAGGCCGACGGCTGTTTGGGTCCCCCACCGAATTTGATCACTAAATTTCGCGTAGGGTGGAACTCGACCGCTAAAGGCTACAATACCGCCCTACTACGAAAATCCTGCGGAACCTGCCCAGAGCGTTAGCGAGCATGCCGCATAGAAGCTGCGCCTCCAGTTCACTCTCAAAACCGATCAGTGACACCTGCCAGCTTCGAATCCCAGAACTTCCGGATCTCAGGGAAGAGTATCATTACCAGTGGTGGCGAAGGGTTTCTGAGCTTGACAAATAGAAGAGGTGTCACCTGAGAGCACTGAGCAATCCCAAAAACACAGTCAACAGAACACACTTGCGCTTATCCCGACGCGTAAATCTGGTTCGAGATGCTCTGTCAACAACCTTGGGATCTATTTGAGCTAGAAATGTCGCCTACGGCGTGAGACGAACTAGACAATGACGAAGTGTCGCAGGGTCATGTACGCAATGCTGGGAAAAAGAAGGCGAAGGTAGGTGGCACCTAGGTTTATGCAGCGGCAGGGACTCGGTTTACCTAGAGCATTTCGCGCAGCTGGCGGGCATCATACGATACCTTTACCTAGTATGAAGTGTTCCTGGTTCACTCCCGATTCTGCTAAGTCTTTCAACGTTGCTAGCAATCTATTGATAGTGTGGCGGCTAGAGATTCCATGGCGATCGATGTAGGGACAGTCGTCTGATATAACACTGTAGCATCGTTAAGAGTGTGCCTAGAGCTAGGCGTATAAAGATTATAAAAAGAAATAGCATAATTGAGAATTTGGGGGACTTGAAGCGCATGATCACATCGCTACGCTAAGGGACCGACGACTAAGCAGCGGCTATCCTCGGGCGTCTAATATTTAGTGAACAAACTAAAAAAGTTGCAAAGATCCTCTATGATACTGCGTCTCTAGCAACATACAGTCAGCCCCCTATGTAAGCATTATTTTAGCATTATATCTTCTGTTTATAGAGCGTTGACAATCTGACTTGAGCTTACTGGTTCGAGAGTTAACGGACACCGCTGGAAGCAGAGTCTGCAACAATCAATCCAGATTATGACACTGATCTTGTGAGTGCAGGATTAAAGCCGTAAGCAAGATATACATAAGCTTGGACGGCTGGACGACAAAAGGCGGCAAACGTGGCTTCTTTGGTATAGTTGCTCACCCTGCTACCACTGCTGGCATCGTACACGACCTCCCTATCAGTCTCCCACAAGTCGCCGCTACGCGTACTGTGGAGGCTATTGCTGCTGTTGATATCGCAATGCTGAAACAGTTTGGGATCACACCTAATCAATGAGGTTACTTGGTTCTTGACAATGCGTCAGATGATGACACTGCAGTTGTTGCAATCACACGCGACTACGGCGGCTTTGGTCGATATATGGAGAAGGACGTCAGCTGCGTCGCTATTAACGATAATCAAAGTAGCAATCCTGCTGAGGCTCCAGTATGGATAAGATCCGGCGGGCTCAGTGCTAGCGACTGGGCAACAATTACTGAGTATCAGAACTGCCTTGAGCTGCTCAAATTTGCAAAAAAGAGGCTAGAGGGACGTAACGACAGCAGCAGCTTTGGCGCTATATATATGAGGTGCTACCGGTCTTTGAATATATATTGCGCAGCATGGAGGAACTTGCGTAGCCGTACGCTAACGGCGATTTTAGCGCTCATACAGAGGCGCCCGAAGGTAATAATCACACCTTATAGTACGTACAGCTCGCTAATGGTTGATTGCACAAACCACTTTCATTCCAACCTCCGCGCTGCCTGGCACAAAGCCAGCGATTATTACAATAAGCTTGACGACTCACCGATCTATTACCCCGCTACCTGCCTCCATCCCTACTACAAATACTAAAGCGAGAACAGCTGGCGTGACAAGCCGGAGTGGCTACGCATCGCTAATGGCGGCTTTCAGCGCCTTTAGCAAGGCTATAAGCTGCCGCTGCCGCTGCCCTTAGCGCCTCAGCTGTTTACAACAAGAACAAGTAATATAGATGACGTAATTGGAGCTTTTACGCGTCACAGCGTTACTGGAACACCAAAAGGCGATGAGTACGATCGCTGGCTACATCAGGATCCGGCGTATCACGCTGTCGACGATGGAAACAGAGTCCAATACTGGATTGCCATGCGCTCAAACTACCTGTGTTTAAGCCAGTCTACAACCGATATACTAGCCATCCCAGCATCAAGCTGTGAGTGCGAGCGGCTCTTCAGCGAGCTCGGTGATCTACTCGAGCCAAAACGACGCGCGATCGGCAGTGAGTTGCTTCCGGCTCTACAGCTTATACGGGCATGAACTCGTGCTGGCTACACTACTACAAAAGCAATTGAAACGCATTGCAGCGACGGCGACGGCGGCAGCAGCAGCAGCGAGAGCTTTTCAGATGACTCACTCGCGCGGGAGTACGATATATACAACTGGGCAGGGTCGCTAGAGATCGTGACTCTAGAGGAGTAGCTACACTACCAAAATCAAGAAGTCTCACAATCAAGTCACGTCAAGACAATCTCAACTGCCTCAAGATACCCCGATTCGCAATCAAGACAATCCGCAGTGCTGCTCTCGTCCAATTAAGTCAAGAAATCGGTCTCAGATTGTCTTGGTTTGCTTGTTGCGGAGTGTGCTATCGAGCATCACACGACTTCGTTTTCCAGCCTGAAGCCTTCCAAAAGCTTGCCGGACGTGTTGGGGCTCAATCGGCAGCCTTGTCCTGGCTGATGGAGTAAATATGCCTCCAGTTGGTTTCTTGCATGGACTAGTGCAGACTTCTCCATTTCTTTTCCATCTCTGTTCTTGTTCTTGAATCTCAAGCGCTAGCTCTGTAAGCGCCTGTACCATTTCACAAGTCAAGAACCCCAGAATATCGAGAACATCGTCTGTTGGCTTGTGATCAGCGATCACCCCAAGGCCCGACCACTCGCGAAAGCGCTTGGTTCTACGCCAGGTAAAAGAGGCATGGCGATATTCGGACCAAGTGACGTACTCTTCCGTAGTCATGTCTTTTGTTGCTTCATCAGCCCTGCGCAACCTTTGAAGCGCATCCTCGTTTGATCTACACAATTCGTCTTGGTCTTCGTATGGAATGGTTTCCGAGAAAAATGAGGGCAAGTCCCAAGGTAAGGTGATTGTTGGGGGTTTGATCGTTCTGGTCAGGGTTTCCTGGACTGTACCATCGATTGTCTTGTCAAACGCAGAGTCCTGAAACGTAGCCATGTCCACCCTTCCTGCGTCTTTGTCATCGTCATCCTTTATCGTCTTGCGTATACTCTTCCAGCCGAGGAAGGTTCGTAGCCGTGCTATCCTTGGAGTATCATGGCGAAATTGGAAGATTATGTCATTATTGGAAAAGGCACCGGACCCGCGTCGAACAGCCAAATCGTTAGCAGTCGTTATCTGGAGATAAGGAATGTTCGTTAGTTTCTAAAGAATAGCAGTTCCCCGGAAGTGCACAAAAGAAAAACACTAACCATTAGCAGCACCTGATCTCTGATGATGTTTTCCACGAGAGCCAGTGTCTCTAGAGACGTTTCTTGAGTTTCTCCTGCAATGTACATCATCTGTGCAAAGAGTTTAGAGGATGAAATCCAAATCTAGGCAGAAAGAAGTAAGAAAACGACTTACTTGTTGAATCTCCTCCTTAAACTTAAGCTCATGAGTCCCCATGCTTACAGAGAGGGCAATGTTAGGATCGCGTGGCCGTCTCAAGTAATGACTTAGGTTTAAGTGAAAAGTGAGGAGATGTTGACGTGTCGGCAGCAATCTTCAGTGAAGGCCTCAGTAATAAAGTAATAGGATTTCTGTCTTGGGAGAACACAGATGATAGTAGCTTCTAATATTGTTTCGGTCTAAAGCCGCTCGCTGTGTCGCAGAAAACCCTGTGTCGCACAGTAGGGTGCGGGTATTGTGGACAGAAAAATCATGAGAAAGTGTATGTTTTTGTTATTGTTTCTAGCATTCTACGTCAGCTTATATAAAAGTCATCGCACGGCGTTAGTAGCAAGGTTCTCGACAGCGCCTAGCTTACGACACTTCATGTACCGAAAGCAGCCGATGAAAGGGTAAGGAAGAAATCTATTCCGACACGATGTTGCGTCTTATTGGTTGTTGCTGGCACACGGGATTTTCTAGTGCACAGAGAGGGGCTTTAGTAGCTCAACTGCGGCGTCCTCATCTAGCGAAGGTGCATTTGAACGTTATGCAGATCTGTGCGCTAAAAGCGTTGGGATTACCAGACAAGAACGAAGTAAGCGGTTTCCCCCAACATATCTTTGCTATCCGTTGATACCCCCTCTCATGCGTTCGCGAGCCACCCAAAGTGTCTCGTGAACCCCACTCCACTGGAGGCGCACAACCCAGTTTATAGCCGTGAGTCATCGGATACTCCTCTTGTCTTGTCATTTTGCATGATCCTAGTATTTCAAAACTGAAATGACCCATTTTGTCCAGAAGCGCCATACATAAGCGCGTTTATCTTACGGTTGTGGCACTTGGCCAATAGATACTAGGATGCTGGTGTATTGTTCCGACTTAGAAGCAATCACAGTAGGGCATCATGAGGGCTGGGTGTTAAGAATCGCGACAGCATCTTCTTGACATACTTCACGAAGGGCGTGTTAGCAGCGACTGCGAGAGTGCGGGGTTACAGCTACACTTCGAACGATCTAAACATGTTTGGCCGCGGATTAGAGTCATGCCGAGAAGCCGTCTCCCGAGATTAGCCCCATCCTCGCTTCCCGTGTCCGTGCATATATTCACAGATTACAAGATTAGAAGACGCAAGCCCCGTTAGCAGGATCAAGCAGGAAATGAGGGATAGGGCGGCTAAGTAAAAGACGGCGATGAAGAGTGAGGAAAATGCGAGTGGGTGTTTTTGTAGATGGTGTTCCAATGAAGTGTACAGTCTTGGCATCTGCGACACGTAGCCGAATATGATGTTTTTTGTGATAGGTTGCCATTGCTTTAAACTAAGAATGCCACTGATAGTCGTGTCTGTGTGAAAGCTGTGCCTATGATACGAGAAAAATTCCGACATACTAACACATGTTCGTTCATTTGCGTCGTAATCTATATCGCTTCTCATAGTTGCAATTTCTTGTAGCAGCTGTTCATCTAACCAAAGAGTGCAGGCTGAACATCATTCACAGCGTCCCCTTCTCCACACTCTCCTTCTTCATTTTCTGCCTCTCCCAGTCACACAAACAATTCCTTCACCAAACCCTCAACGACATCGTAAACCAGCCCATCTTCAGCCCCAGTGACCTTCTGGGTGATGACCGGAATCTGTTCCCTCCCAACCTTGTAACCCCCCAAATCCACATCCAAGCCTAACCTCTGCACGAGCTTGAACACCCTCTCGCCAACTCTCTCTGCATCAACTTGCACATCTCCCGACGGCGACTCGTTAATGAAGGGCAGCAAACGCGCTATCTGCTTCGCAGCCTCAAGATCCCGTGCCTTGAACTTCACCACATGGCCGAGCGTGAGACACGATGTGACGCCATGCGGAATACCGTAAGGGCTACCGAGTGCATAACCCAGAGTATGAGAGAGGCCAAGGCTACCTTTGGTATTATGGCCTAGAAAGCCTAGGCTAGCGAAGGAGGCCAATTGCAAGCGGGTGATGATATTTTCATCCTTTGGGTTTTGAATGTACCGGGGCAGATAAGTAAAGATTTCACCTGCGGCTTGGAGACAGAGCATGCGCGCGGGTATCTCGGAGGCGGTGGGGTGATAGAGGAGCTCTAGGGCGTGATCTAGGGCGCGGAGACCGGTGGATGTCCATAGGCGTTGGGGGGTGTAGAGGACGAACATTGAGTCGTACAGGATGACGTGGGGGACAAGTTCCTTTGCGCCAACGCCGGTCTTAACGCCGTTCACCTCAGTATAGCCTGCCATCATGGTGCATTCTGATGCAGATAAGGTGGTGGGGATAGTGATGTGGTACAGCCACTTGTCGCTCTGGGTGTGGAGCTTGTAGCTGATAGCTTTTGCGCTATCGATAGGGGAGCCACCGCCGATAGATATTATAGTGTCGACGGAGCTATCATTTTTTACGACCTCGATTGCTTCATTCAGTTGAGCGACAGGCGCGTGTTCTCTAATCTTGGAGAAAGTGCCAGCGTGTTTCGATCCTAGCAATCTCTCCACGTCTTGGACAAGAGGGGTCTTGGTCGCTAGAGAATTGCCAGTGATGATGAATGCTTTGCTGGTCTCATTTGGCAAGCAGTCTAGCAGGTTTTTGGAAACAACACCGCTGCCGTAGTAGAGGCGTTGGAGTTGAGTGGGTTGCCACAAGCCAAAAAGTGGATTGCTGGTTGCATCTGTCATTCTTCTAGGTTCTGACTTGAATGCTATCGATGCGTAGCGGGGTCGCAGAGTTCGGATATCTGATCGTCGCACGGTTGGATGCGTTGATTGTCGATGTGTGATGTTGACAAGAGTATATAAGTTATTTAAGTGTTGTCGTACTATCAGGTACACATATTATAGACGGGATGGTTAAGAGAAACTGTATGTATTGTATTGTTCGCAGCATCCAAGCTTAGCTTATGTAGAGGTCATTGCACGGCATTATTAGTGATAACGTCTAGACGCGGCTAAGGAGCTAGGTGTCACACTAGGTCTGGCTATGCTTTTCTAGGCTCGATCCGTACTAAGACGAGATAGCCAGAAGCAGTAAGCCGTGCGGGCTGCCCAGCAATTCATGTGAGAATAAGTTGTTGAAGTTGATTAAAAGGTTAAGACAATCCTATTCTATGAGAATAGAGGAACTGGTTAGCAATCTGTATAAGAAATAAACTATTTGAGTCAAGTACAACAAGTCTAACAATAAGATTCGTCCGTTCCTTCTACCTATCGCAATCTGTATCTGCTGTCCTATCTATCCTATCTTAGCGGGAAGTCTTGAAGGGCGTTGCTATTTCTATGTGCACTGCCATCCGAGATAGCTAGCGTTAGTAGTATAGCATATCACGTGACTCTAGGCCCCGCGATAGCCGCTAACTTCTAACGTAGGCGTAGTTAGTCTTCAACCTCCCCGTTCCCCGTCAAGGCAGAACCTTTTGTGTTACCTGTAACATCGATGTTAGGAAGCGACAACTCCAGCTAACTGTAAAAGATCCGGTTCGACCGGATGGACCGCTGATCGTGGGATCTGATAGCTGAGTCGGTCCGATAGCAATCTATGAAAGCGCGCGACATGACTCGATCAATTACGATAACTACACTCTTCCCATATCGTTATGGTGAAGCCTGCAGCTTCCTCTAACGCCAAGTCCTTGCCAGCGCGACACAATCACACCTGTGTTAACATCAGTTGTGCCTCAAGGACTTTTGTAACCTACACATACGCTTAACACATTTTGATAGTAGGAGAAAATGATAGAAGAGACACAACAGCGGCTATGCATGTTGGTATCTCTCCACTAGATAAGATCTCTGTCCAGCAGATAGGACTTCTTGCATTGTTAGGCTTGAAACGGCGTTGGGGGGTATATTACATAATGAACATGCCGCATTATGTCCGCGAAGATTATTTAAGAGCCTATCCTCTACCTGCCTAAGTTGCCTGATCTAAAACCCCTCGAAACTTGCTTATCTTCTATACTTCCTACAATCAATATGATTTCGATACCGAAATCATCCAACACTGTTGATGTGTCTATTATGGACACTGGTTGTAAAATTGGAGGCATACCAGCCGCCATCTTCACCAGCCCACCTATACCTGGTTTTGACAGGTTTCAGGGCATCAGCTACGTGTTTGTTGTAACTCACACTGACAAAGAGGGTAACGTCAGACGAGTCCTATTCGACCTTGGGGCGCGTAAGGATTGGGAGAATATGGCACCCCACGTTGTGCAGGCAACAAAAGCAATAGAAGGCGCAATTCTTGAACCTGCCGAAAACGTGGCCGATTTGTTGGAAAAAGAAGGGGTCGATAGGGCCAGCATCGAGGCACTGATCTGGAGGTATGTTGTCCCAACTTTGATTGCAATTGCAGGGCTGATGTCGGCAATAGTCACGCGCACGTAGATCACGTCGGAGATCCATCTACCTTCCCTTCTACCGCCACCCTCATCGTTGGTCCGGGGGTAAAGGACGAGTATTTTCCCGGATGGCCTACTAAGCCTGATGCGCCTGTTCTGCTGACTGATTTCGCAAATCGCGAGGTTCGCCAACTCGACTTCACGGACACTCGATTATCAATCGGCGGGCTTCCTGCTCTAGATTATTTCGGCGATGGAAGCTTCTACCTGCTCGACGCTCCCGGCCATGCTTTGGGTCACATTTGCGGCCTTGCCCGTACAACACCAGACACTTTCATCTTATTCACTGGAGATGTGTATCATCATGCGAGTCAGATCAGGCCATCTGCGACTAATCCCGTACCAGAGCATATTCACGTACCGGGAATTATTCCAGATCCATTGTCTGCTCAGCTATTTGCACAGATTGCGCCTTCGAAATGCTGTTCCGTACCTCTACTTCAGCCTGGTAAGGTTAACAGCGACCTGAGCACTGCAATGCACACAATCGACGCTGTGAGAAACTTCGACGACCAAGACAACATTTTTCTTGTTGCTGCACACGATCACACTGTGTCAGGTGTTATCGACACATTTCCTCAATCGGCAAATCAATGGAAGCAGAAGGGATGGAAAGACGAGGCAAAGTGGCTATTTATCAAGGATTTTCAAGACGCGTTGAATCTATGCGCGTGAGCAATATTCGGATATTTGCGACGACACAATATCTTTAGTGTAGGCAATGTGAACGTTGGGCGTGAGTCAGAATCAGAAATGTATACGTACTTCCACGAGTTCTCATATGTATTGACATACCAACCGTTACTGCTACTGTTTACATTACATGAACGCAGATTAGTAGCACATTATATATTGGTCACAGGTGGTCTGACAAAGAGACGTTCACGTGCATGATTAGTAACAGTTGTCTCGCCTTTCTGTGGTGCTCGCTGCAAGATTGCGTCCCTCTTGTGTGCGTTCACATCGCGAGAATCTTGCCAACTACCGTTTTTTGATGGGGGTGTGTTATTCAGACAAAGCCTCAACGCTGAAGGAATCTGCATGCTTCAACGGGATAGAGGCGGGGACTCGCTTGGTCTTCGTAGTCCTTGATTTGTTTGGGGCTTCGGTGGTTCTATGTCGGACCGATTTTACTTTGCCGCACAATCTAGATAAGATTAGCCTAAACACGCTAGATAATTTCACGATTGCTTCGTGGTCCAAATTCGAGACGTGCACGTGTAGCTGGGACAGGTGCCTGCTACAAGTGAGAACCCGCACGCTTAGTAGTTGCTACTTACAATTCATGCATTCAACGATGCCATTGCGGACCAAAATCCACGGAATGGCATCGGGGCCTCGGGGTGCATTGATCGCCGAGATGACTGCCGTGTCCGTGCACACAATGCACGCCGTCAGTCAATGCACGCGCATCACCAAAATAGGCTGCACGAAATTGAGGCTGTAGAGCCTACGAACGATAGATATCATTACGAGAATCGTTAGCAGAGTGCTCTATACACCTATGTGACGATATTCTTCTATTTACATCAATCGTATAAAGTTGCTGTTCTGTCGCTGCGGGTATTGCGGGTGCGAAGTTGCTGAGAGGACCCCGCAGCAGCAACACGACTAGGCGAAGCAGCAACACCCACTTTCAGCTTTTCTAAGTGCTATACTTCGTGAAGCCTTACGCTTACCTTCCTGGAACGATTCTAAAGCTTTATCACAGTCTTTTTTCTCCTCGATAAGGCGTGGCTCTTTTTTTTCGCGTATCAATGGCCTTACGTTCTTCTGTCTTATCCTTCTTCGGTGCTTCTTAATCTTTTTTACGCTGCTCCTTGTCCTCCTTTGCGATCTTGTTATTATATGGCTTACTAGCCTTCTTTGATTCTGTCCTATCAGCCTTGTCTAGCTCCCCTGCTTCCTTTTCTTCTTGTACCTGCTTCATGCGCATCTTGGCTTCTCTGAATGATCGAGTCCACATCGAAGGCCTCAGTATTCGTAGTATTACAGCAGGTCTAGAGACTTGCTCTTTATCTCTCTACTTTTCTTGACAGTAGGAGCGTTTAGTAGACCCTTACTATCGCTCTGTAGAAGGATGTTCTGTATAGCTATATAGTAGAGCGGTTGCCGAACGATAGATGCATCTTGCTAATGGTGTCTAAGTCGTCGTTAGTGAAGCGACCGGATGTGGCCTCAGGATTAAGGGATGCACACCCATTGGCTCGAAGGAGCTAGAGATGTTCTCCGCAGTAAAGCCGCTTGGCCAAATGTCCTAGAATAGGCTAAAGAAGTCAGTCTTAGTTACAAAAGCTTAGCCTTAATGCTTGTGAAGGCGTGTTACGAACTCCTTCGAGTATGCTGTGCTGAAAGGCTTGAACATCACCACGTCGAGTGGGTGCAGCGTGTGGGTGCTGTGGGTTGGATAGACACCTGTTGGTAACAAGAATTTCAGGTGCATGATGTGTAGGGTTAGACGATTTTCAGGTCGCAAATATCCTAAAGTATGCATCTAGCAAGCAGAGCGCGGGGAAGTTATAGGCTCTCAGCGAAGAGGTTGTAAGACAGAGTTTCAACTATCAATGACTTGAAATGGAATACCTCGATGGGAGCTTGAAACTAGGCGAAACGGAACAGGTTTTGTAAAATCAATCGGCGTTTTCTCACTCACAGCCAGCTTACAAGAATTACGCTATATCCAGCTAACAACTCTGCCTTTCATGGTGAAAGTACGTGTTGATGTAGACTAGTAAATGAAAAGGATTACACAGCAGGGGAACATGTCTAGTCCATGCCTGTCCTTCGAGAAGGCGCTCTCCAGCTAGATTCAGCAATATGTATCGTTGACCTAATCTCTAGCTAGATTCAGTAGGCAAAACGACTTATAGTCAACCACTATTTTGCTTAGCATAGCTAAGGATGTACAGACTGAAAATTTAGGTCTATGATAAAAACACCACGGTATCGATGGAAGAAAAGCATAGTGACTAGCTATATCATTCACGTATCCGGTACATGTAGTACTGGCGTCAAAACCGTATTGTTGGCACTTAGGTTTTCTAGGATGGTTTCTAGCACACCAAAAGATAGTCAGATAATTGTAGCGTTCTAGGATGTAGTTTGAATCCACAGAGAGTTGTTTCCATGAGAGAACATCTCCGCTATGCTTTTCAACACGCAGCAAGATGCGTCTATCTGCAATAGAACGGACCGAAAGAGAACAGCTCAGAGCTTTGCGACACGTAAGGATCCTAAGAAGCAATCTTTTACTGGAGGTAATCCCTTGATATGTTCTCTCAGTGTGCGAGTGACACTTATAACGTATTGTTGGAAGAATTCTATAGACTAATATGTGGCGGGTCATAACAACGTGTTTATTTCGTTGTATGGTAATCTGTGGCGGCATCGAATCGCGGAATAGATGCCTGATGTCAGCCGGGTTACCTCTATAGTAAATTTCCAGCATAGCGTTTTTATCCGCAACGTGGCACCGGACGCGTTTGCTAAAATTGATAACAGAATTTCTAAACGTCGCTAACTCTACAAAAAAAAACACAACCAGAATGGACCAAAAGACTCTGGAGCTAGCGATCAGTCTAGTTCCGTTTCTGAACAACGAAAGTAATGCCACATTAAACGATGCGACGAGGGCAGACCCTAGCACTTGCGGAAGCACGAACCTAGCGATCAGCGAAAGCAATCTTGAAAGTCCCGCCAAGTCTCTGAAAAATGAATTTGAGTAATCTGATCTTCTCTGTAATTCCGTTGCTAGTCCGTTCTGCTTACGAATACAGTCAGAATTTAAGGAAAGCAAAGACGGCTTTAGCCGACCGATGGTCAATCGGCCCGAAAGTGGCATTATAAACACATGTCAATCCCTTCCCCAGAGAGCAATTGTAAAGACATATTCATATAAATTGCATCACTATTTATCATGCTATTGCTTCCGCTTGCCTTGCTTTCGACCGCTTTCCCCTCGACGATAGCAGCCACTTCCTATTGCCCACCACAAGCAGCATCCCCCCAACAGAAACGTGCAATTCTTCGGGAGTTTGTACAAAAGCTCTACATCGACCGGGACCCTATTCGCGCTGTGAAGGACCATATCGCCTTAGACTACATACAGCATAATCCAAATGCCCTTTCTGGCCGCGAAAACACTCTCCAGTCGTTAGCCTTCATCACACCAGACACTGTCAAGTTTACAATCAGACACCTAGGGGTGGATGGGGATATTGGCTTCTTTTTCTCAAGATTCGAACGGGTTGGTGCAGATCAGCCAGCTGCGGTGGCAGATTTTGTAAGATTCAACGGAACTTGTATACAAGAGCATTGGGACGCGATTCAAGAACGAACTGAGAACCGTACAAATTCTCTTGATCTGTGGTAGCGTTGATAAATGCTAAGCTGAGGGCTGCTCGGGAATAGAAAATTGTTTATAAAATTGAGACCTAAAGGATCAAGTGTGATAGGCTGAAGCCTGATTAGCTAGCCTCTCGATGGTATCTCTTTCATGTGCGTGAGGCGCTTTGTTTACAGGTTGTAGGTGCTTCTTTGAGCACCTGCAATCTGTACAAGGGAGTTGAGCCGGAGATTGTTCCAGACCGCTCTGTTCTAGACATCTTTATGACATCAGCCACTCGTAGTGTTTTTCTCCATCGATAACAACTTCATACCCGTGTGATAGCTCCCTGGGCGTAGCCCTTGTAATCTTCCAGCACTTGAATTTGTAGTTAGTTGAAGGGAGGAAGACCGATACCTCTAGGCCTAGCAGCTTGAAAACAGCTAATATAGCATTTATAATCTGGCACTTTTCGCACGTTTCGATTTAATCTAGTTAGCAACTGCAAGATGCGAGCGGTAGGTTCGTAATGCGCTATAATTTTTCCAGACGATGACTTAAGATTGTAGTAGGTTAGGTACATGGCTACTAAGGAGTTGGATCCTAGGAGCAGAGTGCTATAGGTGCTAAGTTGGGTAGGCTATGGTAGGTAACAAAGACATGAAAATTCAAATTTGTCAGGAAGCATATCCAGACATTCAAGAGGCGTAGCTAGTTTGTTAGCTAGTTTGTTGTAGAGATATCTTGCTGTAGAGAAAGAAACTAAGGTCTGTTGTTCCTCACGTGACTATAGCCAGCCAGTCAAAGTAGCTAGAAAGAATCTTAGTAGACCGGTGAAATTTTGCGGTATTCTTGCATACAATGGCCTCTCTTAATTCTCCCTGCTACGTCTAGGTGTGGACGCTAATTGACTGGAGTCCCACCTTGCTATTCTTTCATCGGCGTTTATCGGCCTCAACAAGATTTGGAATCCCACTAGGATTCTATGCAGTCGCTTGGGGGTAGGACCGCAGCAGCTGAGACAATAGCTTGCTAGGAACGCAGCAAGCGTGGAAGCCCGACTTTAGTATGACCTGAGCAAACAGGAAATTGTGACCTGTCGCTCGAACGAATCGACCGAATCCTGTCAAAGCATGGGATCGATACTTGTCCTCCATCAACCAGATATATCACACACAATGAAATGTGTATCTAAGAACCCGCCAGCAATCATGCGCCCGTGTCGACGACTAAATGACGCGCCAGTGAGTAGATTCAGCAACGAACTATCATCCCAGAAAAAAACCTCTGGCGCATAATTCCGCGCTCTGTTCAGCCGCACAACAGAAGGTTCGACCACCGCGCTTGTGATGTTAGGGAAAGCTACAGTAAAGATCAGCGGCTCTGTAGAACAAGATTGCCATGCTCTAAAGCTTACCCGCTATAAATATGTCGCCCGAGCTAGATTCAATAGACAAATTATCAATACCGGCTCCAATCGCCTAGTCCCCGTTAGCCGCGTGTCTACAACAGAGTGAGAACTTGACTCACGATCCTAGAACTAAATGTGAGATTTCCGGATGTAGGCTCCACGTCGTATGCGGTGACGGTTTCCATAGCAAAATCATTAACCATCAGCGTTCTTCCGTCGTCAATCAGGAGAATCCCGTTGGCGCCGGGGTGCGCGTTCGGAGGCGTTACGGAGCGGCAGTCGAGTGTGACGTTTCTTACCGCGCAGTGCACAACGTCAGTGGCCCATTTGAATGGGCGATTTGCGACCTCGAATTCTCGGAATGTGCCGTTGTAGAAGTAGTGGTCATTGGAAACGTAGAAAGACCTACGTCGTATCGACCCGTTAGGTAAGGTGAATTACTATCAGTCCTGCTCCGGCTTACCGTGGACCAGCAGCGGTGACTGCATTAGGCGTTTTGATTGATGGATGCTGGAACTCTTCGAGGAATCGGAGTGTAGTTGTGCCAAGGGTGTGTGAGAAGAGTGCGATTGTCTCGCCCTTACGACCATGATTTACTGCGAATAACCGAATCTACGCGACGATGAGCCATGTGTCTCGAAGCAGTGTGTGCGTCTTACCTCATTCGGGCTCTCGTCGGATTGCCAGATGTCCAGACCATGGAGAACGAGATCATCACCTTGGTTCCAGTTTTCGAGCTGGAGGCGAGTCGTAACATTGCGCTGCGAGTCATCTTAACAAAGCACTAGTTCCGCTGGTGAGAAGGAAACCAACTTCTATGTCATACTTTAAGAAATACTCATGAATCGCTTGCTCTGAGCTGCGGTCACGGTTTTCAATTGGAGGATACCATGCGTTCTGTCTCTGCGTCGAATTGCCACAAGCTACAAGCCATCCTGTCAACGAATAGTAGCACGCAAGGAGATTGGACTGACCCAAAAACGCTGTGCTGGAGGCATCGTGAATTTTGACGTCCTCGCACGCCTGACCTTCTGTATCATGAACGTTAGCGTCTTGAACAAACGTCTGATATACGAACCAACATGTCTAGACATAGGGACCATGTACCTATATGCTTCCAACAATTGTTGTTGTTGATGTTGCCATAGCCAACCAGGTTCGAACCCGAAGCACGAACTGTGCGCCCTCCGATAGCGTCAAAGAAGGCCTGTTGCGCATTGGTAGCAGGCACAGAAATCGTGAACAACGCGAACAGACTTTGGAATATTCGTGAGAAAGTCATCATGAGGTCAATCCGTGAGCGGTTCGAAAGACTGTGTTGGCGAGAGGCATCCCGCCTTTATATGAACAACCGTTCATGCTATGTTTCCGCGGATGAGGTCGTGAAGATCGAGCGGATTGGTAAGCCAGACAGCGTCAAGATGCCTTTCTATCGGGCTATTACGAATTATTCTAGGATCCGGGGTATGGTAAGCTCGTCTGTAAATATTTACATCTGTTGTCAGCGAATGGAAGATGGATGCCAAGCGTGCGACTCACCATTCAGGATCGCATCCGGCAGTTCCGGGCTACGATTACCTGTCAGTACCAAGATATGCAGATCGTTTATACCAAGGCTTTTCGTGCGTAACGCGTCAAGTAGTGTCTAGCACAAGTGGATTAGTGTTACAGATAACATCAAGCATTATCCCCTTGACGCAGGAGGTCGGGGTTGAAGGCCAACCAGCGACCACATCAGAAGGTAATGATCTCAACGGGGTTGTGATCACGTGACTGACATCTCGCCAAGACCAGGCATCTCGCCAAGAGAAGAGATGTCACAAATGCCAGGACCTCAAGCAATAGGCTTAGAGGATACATAGATTTTATTATTAAACTCGCCGTAATTGACTCAAATAGTTTATTTCTTGCACGGATTGCTAACTAGTTATTCTATTGTTTATAGGATAGGATCGTCTTAACCTTTTAGTTAGCTTCGATAACTTATTCTCACACGAATTGCCGGGCAGCCTGCGCGGCTTACTGCTTCTAGCTACCTCGTCTTAGTACGGACCGAGCCTAGAGAAGTATAGCCAGACCCCGTGTAACACTATTGCCACAAATGGCGATACACAAGCACCACTGGCGGGCCGACAAGGTTTCAGCTGATCTCCGCCACACCCTCAATCTAACTCGCGCGCTTGCCTTTCCGTTTTTCACTACCTCTACACTCAGCATACCTGGTTTGACGCGCTGCAAACACGAACGAAGAGCATCGGTATACCTCGATTGCGCCCACTTGGCCCAGTATCATGTATTTGCCTTGACATAACGATCACTCCCAGGTCACGACATAATAGACTCAGATGCTTTGGCCAAGTATCAAAACGGCGAACATCTTGAACAAGTAGTCGTCACGTCTGGACCCACCTTGCTAACTAGTACCCAAGTATGGCAACGACAACTACACTACTATAGCAGAAAACTAAACCACATCACGCAAATGTTGATAATTCTGACGCAAAGGGTGCTAGAATCACTATCACAGCGCGAAACGTCAGTGTTGTTGCCATACGTGACGTCCGTCCGAGGCCGGACGAAAACCCCAAGCTTCCTGACTAATCACCGTTAAGTCCACATCAGACTGCAACCATGCTTCTGCGACCGACTCACAAACGGAGATTCGTCGGATTTTAACGTTAAGTCCATATTAATCCAAGAATAATTGGAACACAGCGATGCCATAGGCATTAACCAGGATGAAGAACTTTTGTAGAAGCCGGTGGTCTTAGTGCGTACTGTGTGCAACGCCAAAGATACATAAACCTGCAAGACCACCATCGATACTGTTCCAAACAGCTTGTACCCAGCGAGCTAGGTCGTAACTATAAGAACTACTACTACCCAAAGTGTTTGAACCACCATGTCTTCCGACTCGAACGACCTCACCACATCGCTCTCCTCCAACTCCAATGCAAAGAAAAGACGTGACCAAGAAACCGAGCCCAGAATGGGTTACACGCGGTACCACAGCCCCCGTCCCCCCCAAACCAGCCCTGGAATCCCCAACTGACCCCCTCACCCCCCAGCCTCGGCAGCTCCGGCCTCAAAATCTCCAAAGTGATCCTCGGCGCCATGTCATACGGCGACCCCACACAAGGCTACCCATGGGCACTGCCCTCCTCCCAAGCGCTCCCGCTCCTCTATCACGCCTACAGACGTGGCATAAACACCTGGGATACCGCCGATGTCTACAGCCAAGGGACGTCGGAATTGCTAATCGCGCGTGCGATAAAAGACTACGCGATTCCGCGCTCTAGACTAGTGTTGCTAACGAAGCTGTATTTCGGTGTGGACCCCGAGGTGGTGAAGTCTGGAGAGACTGATTTCGCGATGGCGATGCGGAATGATGGACATATGGTGAATCGGGTGGGGTTGAGTAGGAAGCATATCTTTGATGCTGTGGAGGCGAGTGTGGAGAGGTTGGTTGTTCCGGTTGATTTTATTCTGAGGGAAGCGTGCTAATTGTGGGCAGATTGGGAACGTATATCGATGTTTTGCAGATTCATCGATTGGACTCAGAGACGCCAGCTGAAGAGGTCATGCGGGCGCTTAATGATGTGGTAGAGAGTGGGAAGGTGAGATATATCGGGGCCAGTTCGGTGAGTGGGTTACTTGGAAACGTTGATCTTGCTATACTGATGTGGGTATCGCAGATGGCAGCCTGGCAGCTGCAGATGCTGAACAACGTTGCTGAGAAGCACGGTTGGCATAGGTTCATCAGGTACGTTGTCCAACACATCGAGCGATGCGAACGACGCCATACTAACACAGAGATCTGCAGCATGCAGAATTACCACAACCTCATCTATCGTGAAGAAGAGCGCGAAATGCATCCGTACTGCGACTACGCAGGCATCGGTCTGATTCCGTGGTCTCCCCTAGCTACCGGTATTCTGGCACGCCCTTGGTCAGAAATGGGCGCGACGAAGCGCGCTCAGTTGAGCCAGGATCTTCTGGCATGGATGTACAGCGATGCGGACAAAGTCATCGTGGACCGCGTAGAGGAGGTAAGCAAGCAGCTTGGGCAGAGCATGGCAAGCGTGGCCATTGCATGGAGCCTGCAGAAGGGCGTGAATCCGATTCTGGGACTCAACTCGATTGAAAGGATTGATGAGGCTGTGGGTGCAGTAGATCTACATTTGAGTAAGGAGACTGTGGCTGCGCTGGAGGAGCCGTATAAGACCAGGCCTGTTGCGCCCATGTGGTGATTTTCCGGTACTTGCAAAGGACTCAACATCAGACACTAGTTTCAATAACAGTCTCTCCGTCAATGGAAGTGTTCTCCAAAGGATTGAGTGTGCAGAATCCCTACGATCCCAGCCACGATATGCTCACTAAGCCCGTGCGAGTTTCACTCCCTTCTTCGCATCGTGATTCAGCACCTTTGTCGCACGCTTGGATGCGGGTATTCTAGACAGACAAACTAGGAGAGGGTGCATGTTGTATTGATTGTAACGTGCACCACCAGTAAGCGGCCCACACCAGTAAGTGGCCCACCCCACCTGACCTGACGCGACGCTCTGCACAACCACCACTATGCCGCGACAACAACGCTCTATACAGACTTCTCGTGAAGGTAGAGTTCTTCTAGCATCTCGTGCGCTTCAAGAGAAACGTATTACAAGCCAGCGTCAAGCTGCCATGCTATACGACGCTCCACGAACGACGCTCCGACGACGCCTCCGCGGTACCCAGCCACGATCAGAGACAGCCTCTGTTAATCGCAAGCTATC